AATAACCATCGCGTTCATTTTCTTGTTAAGAGGAAATTTGGAGCTTCGGAGTTTCCGAATTATTCGAGCAACGCTTGTAAGAAAGAGCTCGGTCTTATAAAAATTAATCGTTTTGGCCCAATTCTTGCGTCAAGAGGGAGGACATTCGACTGCGTTAAATTGGTTTGTATGGGCACTGCTTGGGGCACGGTCCCGCAGTAAAGTGGACTTTTAGGTGGCAGACCGGCACATGCGGGTTTTACTCGTGCCTTCCTAGTGTCTTCCATTTACCCCCTACCAAGTTGTTCTCTCTTCGAATGCCCATCGCCAGCTCTTTTACGTTCCTCTCCTCCAACCAGTCGCGTATATAACGCAATAATCATTTAATTCTGGCGGTCGTACGCGCAGCGCTTGGCGCCAACTCAATCTAAGCCAACCGGATATGCCTCTCTCGTCTGCCTCGCTCTGCCACTGACGTAATCCCGAACTTTAAAAGAAATCAACGCGAAGGAAAAGAAGAACAATCCTATTATCAATTTTTTTACTTTCGCATTTGCTTATTCTTTTATTTCCCTACTCTAGATCCTATTCCTTTTGCTTTGTTCCTTCCTCTTGGCGGCGGTTCGAGGCTACGCGGTGCGCTTCATTTGTCGGCATGAAAGTGCTAATGAATATCGGCCCTAAATATCGGCCCTAAATATCGGCCCTAAATATCGGCCCTAAATATCGGTCCACGGGGATGAAGGGTAGCACTGGGTGTGCTCGTCGTCGGTGCATATGTCTTTATATATTATGGGGGGGGATTACACGTCCAAGTTCCCCGGCGAAAGTCGTCACGGAGAAAGGCGGACTCGATACGTTCATACGTTCACGCCTGTGCGTTTATGCGTGTGCGTTTATGCGTGTGCGTTTATGCGTGTGCGTGCGTGCGTGCGTGCTTCAGGGCTCCGACCGACCCTGGTCACGCTCGTTTGTTCCGCGTTAATTCTCTCTGCTCTATTCACCCTCTTCTCAGTTTCTCTTTCGATGGAAATTCTCCGATGCGCGACACCATATGTCAACTCCCATCGTGTTGGAGTCAAACGTAGTCGAGCAAGTTCGCGTATACTTGCAATAATAGTGCTCTTACGTAGCATATCTCAGTCGATGGGTCGACCGTTCCACGAACAAACTCCTCGACAAAATCTGAACGCGGAAAACTTTTAGCCTTTGCCAAATAATCATAGTATAGATACGATTTATAGATAGGATATAATTATGGCCAAGAAGCTTTGTCACGCTCGGACCAAACAACGGCTACGGAAGATCATAGAATAGTGAGGAGGGGGGACCGCATTGTCGTCTTGCGAAATTCATCGCGATCAATGTAATTCGATTGTCGAGTTTTAATTGATATTCTTACCGTCGTGTTGATCGCATTGATCAACGTCGTCATCTAGATCAATCGATCTTTTCGGGATTTAAATCGTATATTTCGACGATCTTACGCGCGATTAGATAAACTCTCAATACGCTTCGTGGAAGCAACAACGATTAGGTTTGTTTTTGTTTTTACTTCTGTTAGCCGCAAAGACTGTCATCGTATTGTCGAATTGCGACATATTTCGTATAAATCCCGTGACAACTGGAAAAATAGGGAAGGAAAAAATAATAAAAAATAACAATCAAATGATGAATCGGTCGAATTAAAGAAATGGTCGCTCGAATTTCTCGTCGATGGACTATAAAAAGGTACTTTAAGAAGGAAAGGAGTAAATTAGAGAAAAGGAGTAGAACATCGCGTTATCGATGAAGAAATTAGAACGGTGTGTTTGTCTCGCTCATAGATCGAATCACTGTCGATCGATAAGCTCGCAAGACTTTTCGAATCGATCTCGTCGAGTCGAGCTAATTATTTCTCATTAAGTTGGCAGTATTTCTTTCCAGATACGTAAGTTGTACTTAAAGTTGGTTCGTTTACCCGCAGGCTTCCAACTGCGTTAACAACCCGTAGCTTCGCGCATAAGCGTCTACGTATGTATGTGCAACGTACGCATGAACGTGTCGCCCGAGATATTGTTTTCCCCGATAACCATCACCCACATCCCCAATTGATAAAGACAATAGCTAATAAGTATATTTTCTCCTTGATTGATTGCGAGAGTGACTCACGTTTGTACATATACATATATATATATATATATACACGTAGGTCGTTCCGCCTGGCTCGATACAAGAACAACGATCACAAGAATATGCCTTTACTAGGGTATATCGTTGAAACGGTAATTGTTTGACGGGACAATCAAGTATTCAATTTGTGGCGCCAACGGAAGCCTGGACCGGCGCGGCGCATTCAACTATTATAGTTTACCAAGGTAAACGTTTTGCTGAATGTTATACAATGTGATCTTTCATTATTAATAAATTAAGTAGATATTTACTCTCGAGTACAAATAGAGAGGATAAAATTGTACATTCGTTTTGAATAAGTTAACAAATAAAAATGTTTCGCAATAGGGCGGCTTACACGCGATAATTACGTTCGTAAGTTAAGATTAACAATAAATTGCGTTTATCAATCGATCAAGTTGTTGGATGCTAATGAAAGATCCGAAAGCGTTTCTATGTCATCGGTAATTCAAGAACAAACATGATACTGTAAAGCGACGTAATGCGAAAATGACGATCGTTATAATTGTTGGTAAACGAACAATTGCGTATTCATTGGATTAAGATACGGCGACACTCGTATGTATTATATCTGTATTGTGTTTTCGGCGCATTCCATTTTTACATATTGGTTCTGACCTCGAATAAACAAACGTAGCCACGATAAGTTTATATTTCCTTTATATATATAGATTAGTCATCGAATAATTTCTCTTGAAAGGAATTCGGAAGCGCGCAAAGAAACTTCCCTTCTTGTGTAATTGCGAAAGAAAGCGTTTTCTCGTGTTCTATAATTTTGCCGGAGACATTAGGTTGCTGCTCACCGTCTTCTTTCGGTCGGCTCGAGTTTTCCTATTTCCTGCGATAAGAGAAGCAAGCAATCTTCTCCAGCGAAGATAGAGCGTAAAGCAACCCTGGGGCCCGCTGCCGGAGCACCTCCCCGGAGGGGAGGAACGACGACGACGCGAGTGAGCGAGAATGATTGATGCGGTTTGTCGCTTTTGCTTCGCGTCCTACGTATCTACGTACCGTCAAAACTTACCTTTTTCTATTCTACAGCTGCAGGTGTCTCGCGAAAGAGACTTTGTCGAAAGTAGATGAGTGTAGTTTTTCAACCTTTATCCTCCAATTGCAAACAGTTGCCACTGATTAGCATTTTTATATTCATATACTTGACCGTAATATTAACTACTATATGTGGATTGTATTTAGTAGAGGACAGTGCTTGGCGCTTTCAAAATAAACAATTTATTTCATTCCTTTTGATATTTTATTGATATTAAACAAAGATGAAGAAAGTACGACGCATTCGTGACGAAAGATCGTCCGACCGCCGCCGGACATTTTTCATAATCTATTCCACGAAAGTATCACGAGTAATAAAGGGTTAATACGGTAATCGCATAAGACGGTAAACGGTTAGATCGGAGAGAATAGATTACGGTCTCGGTTGACGGTGCGTTTCAATTTCGTTGCGAATTAAGTCGGAATAGCGAGTAATTGACACGGGTCTCTATGGATTTAGGCGAAATATTTTTCTCGACGTTTCTCAACGGCCCCCCTTGACGAGTAGAGATAAAAAGAAAATATCGTATATCGTGCACGGCTCTGCTATAATTGTCGAATAATTTAATACAACTTAATCGCGTTGCGAGACAAGGAGGAATTGCGCATTCCTTTCAAGAAAATCCACACATTCCGTCAAAGTTTACGATCCACGAGACATCGATAATCTCGTTTCGTTATCACCTGCGCCAAAAATATGTTGCGAATGAATTCGATCATACTTGTCGACGATTGCCGATCGAAAAAGTTCATGTCAAATAAAATCTTGTTTCTCTGCTCGTGCATTATCGTTCGCGAATGTCGTGTTGCACCAAATTTTCGACCTTATCTATCGGCTTTCGTTATCGCCGATAAATGGAATGGATTTATTTCTTCTTGAAAATTCGGGATCTCTCTCTCTCTCTCTCTCTTCATTGTTCTTTCCTTATCGCAGGGTCCGTCGTAAATGTAAAAAATCATTATTGCGATCGAAAGATATTCGATCAAGATTATTCGGCAAAGGAAGAAACGATAGAGTATAAAAATCAGAAAAGTAGTAAGACTTTGTTGTCTTACTTAGTTTTACGCGCGTGTAATGTCGATGCACGGTGTGAATCCTATACGCGTAGTACGTCGGACGTGCGCGCGCGTTTTCCAACTTTCTCTCGGTCGCGTGGGAGGGCCGAGCACAAATATCAATCAGTGGAGTCAAGAGCGGAATCAGGGTGGCCGAGTGGTTCCACATAATGCTGGCGAGCGCGGAGAGAGATGAGAGTTAGGACAGAGGTAGGACAGAGGTAGGACAGAGGTAGGACAAAGGTAGGACAAAGGTAGGATGGATGTAGGATAGAGACAGATCGAGCGTACGTACATTCGAGATACACACCCAGCTGTACCACCCCCGCACAGAGTCTCTCATCCGGGTGAATCGCGAGAATAAGCACGTAGCGAGTAGCTTCGAAGCATTTGCTAGGTTGCTTGCGCGCGAGTGCTACCAATGCTTCTGTGTATGTGTATGCGGGAGTGGAGTAGGGAAGAAGGAGGCGTGTCAGAGAGGCGGAGCCAACTTTGAAAATCCCAGCTAGTATCCAACATTTCTCTCTCTCCCTCTCTCTTTTGCTCTTTATCCGTGCATCCGTCCGTCGGTCCGTCCGTCCGTCGGTCTGTCCACTCACTCAGTCGTCCGTGCATCCGTCTGTCTTGCTCTTACTTTACTCATTCGTCTCCCACCCTCTAATCGGTCTCTAGATCTCTCTTTCTCCCCTCTGAACCGCGTGCGCGCACTTATATACATATATCCGTCTCACTCTTCGCCGCGACTTTCGTCCATCGTCGTCGCATGGGAGTCCCTCGGCACTCTATCGGATCCCGTTAACGGCAGTCGCCGTCGAGACACCCGCTATAACGTCTCTCGCATCTCCGACACACTCTCATCAAACAACCCCGGTGGTGGTGGTGTGTCATTATTTCCTCTTGTTTTTTCGCACTTTCTTCTTCATCGGCATTACTTCGTCGAGCGTCAGCAATTACCTTTAGATCGACGCGCAAAAGGAAGTACTTCTCGCCGAATGGTTTTAACCCTTTGTGCTCGTTCCGGAAGAACCATCGAACAACCATCGCAAATGAGATAATTTTTCGATTGGATCGCGAGTTTCGAGGATGAAATATTGGAACGTGTTTCTTCTCGTATTCGAAGAAAGATACGACCTATTTTGAAGTTTCGTGCGACGAAGACGCATTTTTAGCGGATCGGTGCGTCAACGATAGATACTTTTCTTCCATTCGAAGTTACTTCATTGGATATAGCAAAGAATCCGCGAGGTACGCGCATGTTGGGTGCAGCGAAGAGAAGAAGAAAGTTTCCATAAGTAGAAGGGGGGAAACAAGGAAGAGTGAATCAGGATGATGGAAGTGCAGCAGCAACACTCGCCTGTTGGGGTGGGTCCGTTGGATTTTTCGCGAAGAGGTGTAGCCGAGACGTCAGCTTTTCGGGTCGTTAAACCGAAACAACCGGCTTCGTCGTTGGTACATCAGCAGGTTGCGTCGCCGGAAACGAATAACAACGAAAACCTTCAAGAAAATTCGCAAGTTCCGCTCGAATCCGAAGGTAAGATTTTCCTAGATCTAATTGTAAAAAGATGTAGTTGGTAAAAATGATCCGTGAACCAATTCGACAATGACTATTATTTTGAGCGTTAGAGTTTGAAGATAATAAAAGTACGAAGAAATAAAAACAAATCATTCGGTGGTAGTCGCTTCATGAAACCGCTACATCTATCCGTTACATGACTATTATTTTCGTTGTTTTCAAAATCGAACGACTCGATTGGTTTTGTATGCGCACACCCTTACAGGAACTTTGATCACACACGCGAAGCGAACGTAGAAGCGTGTTGCGCGTTGATGTGTGCAGGTGCGTAAGAGAATCGAGTCGGCAGGATGGTCGTTCAACAGGTGAGGGGATGGATTAGACAGCGTGCCTATACTAATACTCGGCTGCTAATCAGGGTAATAGGCTAACGTAATAATATCATCATCCCACGCAGAGCCGGGCTAAACAGTTTAAGCCGTAATTGCCAGGTGATGGGCAGATCGTGGAGAGGGTTGACGCCTTCCATTTGGATCGAGGCATCGAATCTTCAGTTAAACTGACGATTTCTCTCGATAGTTTCGACTTTGACTTTGTCAACCTTTTTAATCGCGATGGTACAATGACATTTGCATTGAACGTCTATCTCATTTGAAATCTAACATAAATCATATAAATTTTTAAAACCTCTTCCGAAAGAGGAAAATGTTTGGATATTTCGGGCTCCCGAGACCGAAAGACTTCTTCTTTCATATTCCATTGGGTTTCAAATAGTTTAGTATCGTTGGAATGAAAAGTTAGTTTAGCGAGATATAGGATCTTTGGCGGAAGAAGGATTACTCATCTTTAGGACGTTCCATACCGTTGGAAAAAGTTGGGCACTCTACGCTAACAGAAAATCACGATAGATTTACGTTTATAGATTTACGACAGGGACGATAGCGTGGTATGCAGGATAAGCGTTCTACGGAACGAAGAGCGATAATATCGGTGCTCGTTCTCTCTCTCTCTCTCTCTCTCTCTCTCTCTCTCTCTCTCTCTCTCTCTGTCTCTCTCTCTCTCTCTCGCGCTCGCTCGCTCGCTCGCTCAAAGACTGCATTACCTGCAGCGTGTGTACACGCTTGTCGTATCGACGTTGTGTACACCGAAACGCTGCGGTCATCTTATCTCGGCCGCGTGGTACCTTCGCTATATAGGAAAATATGATTTATTTCTGATAATCCTACGAGAATGAGATAGCCTTTGCGGTAGAGCCGCGGCGCAACTAATCTCCTCGCGCTATCTCGGATTATCCCGGTCGTCGTCGTCGTCGTTGTCGTTACTATATTGCCCGGATTACGGATTCCTTTTTTTTCAGCCGATGATGATGATGATTCTTTTCGTATTCGTCAGCCGTTCGATCTAACGAGAATCGTCATCCGTCGGGATCCGTTTTCACTCTTTTAACCCTTCCAAATGGGACGACCTTTTTCTTTTCTACTTATTGCGTGATAAATAGGATAATCGGTTGGATGAGGAAAAAAAGAAAAGACCCAAATTGGTAATTCCATACAATCTAGTCGCGAGGGATGCGGGTAAAGTTGTACGGCGTAAAGTTAGGTATTCGTAAATGTTGTAGGATGCCGATCAAAGAAACCATGACGATGGATGGTAAATGTTCCTCGATAGGAATGCAGTTTGAAAGAAAGAGAAGGAGTAACAGTCGAGACACCGTTGATAAATAGAGGAAGGTTTCCCTCCTTTCTAATAAAGACGCTCTTGTCGAGGGGTTGATCTTTCTTACGAACCGGGAATACCAAATTTGTCAGGACTTGAGACGTTACAGATGCGTGTTTTTCCTTGCTTCTTCTTCGGTGTAAGGCGCAACGAGGAACGCATAAACGTCGATCTTGACGATTTTTTCTTTTTTCTATTCAACGAACGTTAATACCTATTCACTTGTACTTTTTTTACTTTTAGGAGGATGCAACGTTCGTTTAATGTTCCCGAGACTATGGGCACCATTTGGAAATACAACCGAGGTTACGAATCTTCCTCCCCTACCGAAAAGTCACTCAGGTATATTTGAGTCGCATCTATTACAGTGTACGTGTGCTGGTGCGTGGGTGTGCGTGGGTGCGCGTGGGTCCAGGGGGGAGTTTCTCTCGACGATCTCTCCCGACTTCCACCTCCGCCATGGCGGCTAGTTTTTATTCGCCAATCGTTAATAACGACCGGTCGGTCGGTCGGTCGTCCGATGATTGGGATAAATGGTAGCACGCGTCATACCGCGAATGGACATGGGCTCTTCTAACTCTTACCATCCCAATTGGAGCAGATTAGAGGCGCAGCTTAGGGATTCGGACGCGTCGTCGGTCCCTTTGTACTCGTACGACGTCGGTCTCTCTCTTTCTCTCTCAGTCGTACCTACCCTAAATTAGTAACGTCTTGTCATGTTAATACGCATATATTGACTCTCTTCCTATTCCTTCCTCGTACACGTGGCTCCTCCTCTTATCTTCGACTTATCGAGATCAATCGAGACTTCTATCAGAAAATCGTACGCGATACGTTTCTCCTTGTGTTCTTCGCGTCGCGTAGCATTTTTATTTAAACGCTTTGAAATCGTATTGAATCGATGATCGTCGAACGAGAAGGAGAAACGAATAACTCGTATTAAAAGTTTGTATCTTTGGTATCTACTTGATTTCCGTCTTCCTTTTAACGAACATGATCGCGGAGAGAGATCGTAAAGAGGGTATTAAGTTTAAATGAGTACTGACGGCTCGATGAAAAATCCTTTTTTGAAAACCCACATCTTCCTGGCGGCCGGTCTATTACCGGCGCCGTTGATCGTCGTACGTATCTCTTTCCACGAACGAACGAACGAACGAACGAACGAACGAACGAACGAACGAACGAACGAACAGGATGGAAGGAGTTTGAGGATTTGTAGCGTGTTGGAGCTTTAATAGCGGCAGATCGCTACGCAGTAAACGACTGACGGACGACGCAAGATTAACTCGATCTAATTGTCCCCCCTCCCCCGCCAGCTTGGCCTTCCTTTATTAATCTACGTTCACGACTATCTTCGGCATCGTTCTCCTTCGTCGCCGTCTATTCCCCCATCACCCCCCCCCACCCGCCACCCTACCTCCACCTCCTTTCCAAAACTTTCTTCACAAATCTCAAGAAGCAGAAATTGTCCTCCTCGTTTATTTGACTAAAATCGAATTCGTTCGAAGAAGGATTAAAGGGACGGACGAGGAGCGAGTAGCATTACGAAGGCAACGTTATTTTAGTTAGAAGAAGGGTCGAGTAGTTGGAATAGAGACGAGCGATGTAAAAGCGCAAAATCCTTCGTAGTCGAGTACGCAAGCTCTGGCAAAGGCGGACCGAGGTGAACCATCTGCTGGACGGTCGGTACGATGACGACTGTTTTTTCACGACGCTTTGCACTTTGCACCGAATGCTTTTTACCGCATTCCACTATATCCCAGATGTGGCATTTGCGTAAGCAGTTCTTCCTAACTCGTCCCGAGTCACATCTGTCCGGACTTCCTCTTTCTTCTCGTCATATTTTTATTTCGTTCCACTTTCCTTCTTCTCGTCGCAAAGAGAGAAGCATCTCTTTTTATCTTTCTTACGTTCGTTTTTATCTTCTTCCTTTGTCAACTACCTTCAGACGAATTCTCTCGGAATTCGATCCACCGCGATATTAGTTTACTCGATACGTGTTTTCACTGGCCGAACGTAATAAGTATACATTTTCGATTTAATAATGTATATATATATATATATATATATATTTCCCCCCTCCCCTAATTATATGACATTTTTTATCGCGCGCGTCGATCGATTCTTGCTATTGCGGTAATGCACTTTGCGGATATTAATGCATCGGAAGAAAAAAATCAATTGATCGATCTTTTACCGACTACGGAAGTAGTATCTATGCGTCTATCTTCAGATAAAAATGATTGCTATCTCTTTATATCTACATCTCTCTCTCTCTCTCTCTCTCCCTCTTGTACATATTCATTTTTCCCGAACGGCCAGCGTACCGCGGGTGTGAGCGTTTTTCATTACATTAGGTCGGTCTCGACGAGCGCCTGTTCCTGCCTTATTTTGATTCGATTGCAAAGCCACCAGGAGTCACGATAATAATCGGGGCTTCGACGATGCAGGGGGTCGCCGTGGAGTCCTTTAAATGCGATTATCCGGGCACGGCTGCGTTATACGCACCAGCACGTGACCGCGTGTCGCGTGCACGGATTATAAATATAATATACTCGGGGCGTTCCATATAATATACCTATCTACTTACATAGACGTTTCTGCCTGTGCATGGCAATATAATCTTTTCGAATGGGTGTATCGCATCGAACGCAAAAGTTGGCAAGCACCGGGGAAATTACGATCGCATCGTAAATCACGACGAAACGATGATTATGCCGAATTCGTTTGTCATCTTTCTTTGATAATATTGTTTCTTCGCAGAACGACTGTCCTTCGGTGTTGGTCGCTTGGTAGGGTCGCCCGCAACGACGAGCCCCTCGCCGTCGCATTCGCCGTGTCCGGAGTCCCCGGCACTCGAGGATCGTCGAGACTATACCGAGATAGACGTGGACGTGGAGGAGGAAGAAGAAGTCGACGTGGACGTGGAGGAGGTCGGCGAGGAGGAGGACCGGGACGCGGTATCGAGTCCGCATCGTTCTTCGTCGACGCCATCGCCTACCGGGACGATAACCTCGGCGACGTCTCCCCCCTCCTCGCATCCGCCGAAGAGATCGGCCGACACGTTCAGTGTGTCGGCGCTTCTAAGGCCCGACCCGCCCTCGGCTCACCTGCAAAATGCTTCTCCTCACCGCGAAGCAGCCATCGGTGGCGGTGGAGCTCATCCGGCAACACCGGGTTCCTCCATTATCTACCCACCTCTTCATCTTCAGGGTGGCCTTTTGCCGCCGCCTCATCCTCACCATCCTCTTTCCTACCTCCATCCTCAATTGTTGCCCCATCATCTTTTGCCTCCCCACTTGCACCCACTCCTACGCGGCGTTCACCCTGGACACCCGGCTTTGCACTCGACACACACGGCACACGGGCTGCATCATCCCCATCCGCTCGCAGACGTCTACAGCTGCGTCAAGTGCGACAAGATGTTTAGCACGCCTCACGGCCTCGAGGTACGTAAACCTTGGGAATTGCGATATCACAGATTATCGATGCTAACTCCTATGATAATAATAATAATAATAATAATAGGTGCACGCAAGGAGATCTCACAACGGGAAGAGACCGTTCGCTTGCGAGCTTTGCAACAAAACCTTTGGCCACGAGATTAGTCTGACGCAACACAGGGCAGTACATTCCGCGGAAAAGGTCTTCGAATGTAAGCAGTGCGGAAAAGCGTTCAAACGATCGAGCACCCTGAGCACGCACTTGCTGATACACTCCGATACCAGGCCGTATCCGTGTCAATTTTGCGGAAAACGTTTCCATCAGAAGAGCGACATGAAGAAACATACTTACATACACACAGGTAGGTGACGTACCACCCCTTCTTTTAGCCCGGATTATTAGGAAAAAAGCATTCTCGATAATCACGCGCGATCCAGCGAAATCTCGCGAGTCTATGGGATACTTTCGGTTCGCGGTCTCGTAGAAATTTATCGGGGTTGCTGTGAGTTTCGATGGAGTTGGGAGGAATTAATTAACGAAGCGACTTTCTACGATAAATAATGCATCCAACCGTCTGGACGGAGTCAGAGTATTGTGCGCGAGACGATTCGCTCGAGTTCAGGCACATGTGGCCGGTTGGTTTCTGCTGGATGAATGCTTCGACTGCAGGGAGGGGCAGGAGGGGTTCGGTCTGCCTAACCCCACATTGCGAGTTTCGTTTGGTAATAATCGTAATGTCTTTCGGGGTGATTCCCCTGTTCCTCTCGTATTCCGTTTACCCCTCAGGTTCTTCGTTTCCACAAGTAGTAGCGTAGTGTCCCCCTCCCCCAATTGCCGATCTTCGAATAGAATTTTACCGCGGCGATTATAGTCCGTGGGAAAAACGGAATGAGTTAGCTCTTGCTAATCCCAGAGGAAAGATTTTTCGCGCTTTGCGATTTTCTTCCTTCTTAAGTATCGCTTTTCGGATTGATCTCCCAATGTTTAGATCGATGAAAATAAAGTAAGTAAACAGGAATACGTTCCTCTAGTTTAATTCGATAATTCGTCTCGCAAGGGATAGCAATTTTTTTTTATCGAAACCCGACCTCGATAGCGGAAGTCGAGAACGCCGAAGGGCCATGGCGGCGTTGGGACACTTGACACTCGTGCGTCTGAAAGCTGACGGAGCGAGCGACGGTCCTGAAGTAGAAGAGTATAGGTTCTCGCTAAGCTGGAGGAAGAGGAAGTGGCAAAGAGCGGGAGGCGAAGCGGGTCTGCCCTTTGTATCGTCTCCATGGCAACCCTCCCAATGTCTTATCAAATTATCACCTTGTCCTCTCCCTTCTTCTTATCCTTCGGGTCGCTAGCGCGTCTTCCACCTCCTTATTCACCCTCTTGGTAGGAAACGAAACTGCCTCCCTCGGTAGGATCCGCTGAAAGAGGATACAAAGCGATGGTCACTCGCGCGGGCCCACTAACAACCTATGGGACCGCAACGACAAGTCCGTCCACTTCGTTTATTTGGCTAAGTCTCTCCCTTCCCCTCTCGATCCAACGCGATGGTCGCAACGGAACATTTAATTCATTATTCAGAGGGATGAAAAATTCAGCGACTCGACGTCCGATGCCGTCGTTCACGAGCAACGCGTCGCAATTGCTTCGTGAAATGACGATACTCGGCCAGTTATTTCCTTTTTTCCTCGACGTTTCAAACATCCTTCTCTTCAAACATCACGTTTCTATTTCGACGAAATTACTTTTCGATAGGATCAACGGGATTCTCTTTCTCCCTCCTTTTCTCTTTCTCCTTTATCCCGACGATCATGATTTCGAGGTCCATTCACAAACGCGACCAATTTCTATTGACCAGCTTTCAGTTCGTACGGCATAAAATATAAAAGGCAACGATAAAAGACGAAAATTTGTAGGATTGCATGCTCCTGATCAAAGTTTACGCGTTCCTCGATCGAACAAATACTTGCTAGTTTTTTCTTTCGTCGCGTTATTCGAGTACAGTGGAAGCTCGTTCGCGTATGTGCGTGAGACAGATAGAGAGAGAGAGGGTGTTCTGGGATTCGAAACTAATGATAATAAGTCCTCGCTGTCTCTCCCTTTCTTTCTCTTCCACTTTCGATCTCTTCTCTCGGTCGTTCTTTTTTGCCGTCCCTCTGCAACCACATTCCCTTCGTCGTGAACACGGGCCATGTGCAATAAGGGTGCGGCACCGTCGGATTCCCCGGGGACCGGCATGGCGTAACGTAAAATCATTATTAGGTAGGTAGGTAGGTAGGTAGGAAGGTAGATAGGCAGGCAGGTAGTTAGGTAGGTAGGTAGGTAGGTAGGTGGGTAGGTAGGTGGGTAGGTAGGTAGGTAGGTAGGTAGGTAGATAGGTAGTTGGCGGTACACCCGAGGACAGGCGAGAGAGAGAAAGGGAAACGCTAGCTTGGATGGCTCGAGCTTCGCGAAGAGAGGAAAGGGGCTGAAAGGGAGAGAGTCGGCCGCTTTAGGGGGTTGGGAATAAGAGCTCTGCAAATATTGTTCGTGCGCGAGTCGGCAAGCGGAGTAGCAAGTCGAGGGGGAAGCCGAAGCAACGGTTCGCGTTACCTTCGTCATTAGGAGGGCTCTACGTTGCTGCTCTTGGTGCTGTTCCTGGTGCTGCTAGAGGGGGTCGGGGTACGTCGAGGTGGCAACGTATGAAGAGTCAAGTGCACCACGGTGGCTGCGAGCTCCTACACACACACGGGAGACCGAATGGGGGACTTTGCCGATTGGATAACGTCGCGTCGTGGGTATCGAAAAGGCGACAGACTGACAAGTGGTCAACCACCCTCTTGCGAAAACATTGCGGCTCCATCAGTAAAAACGTTTTTCTTTGGGGTGAACGACGCTCTCGATGATGGCGCGACCAAGATCTTTTCGTTCGGTTCGATCCGATTTTCGATCTTCTTACATGGTAACGCGATAGGACAACGGGACGAGACGCGTAATGATGTAAAATAAGTATTCCGATTGTTAATTAGACATTTTGTTCGATTGCGATTACGAGAGAATCGATTGAATTCTATATATCGAGATCCCTAACAGGGAAATCCTGCACCCTTAAATTGTTCGCGCGACACACGACCGTGCGTCGTCTTTTGTTTTTACAATAAACACAACCTGTCCGCTCTTTGGGTGCTGAGCAAAGTTGCAAGGGGCTGAGGGAACGAGATGAACGTCAGCTGTGTACTTTTCCTTTTCCCAATCGGCAGTCGATTTCGTTTCGTTTCGTTTTCGCTGCCGACGAAAATGGATCATTTTTGTGCGAATTAGTTTTGTTTTTTTCTCTATTCTCGTACGAGTGCGTACAAGTGTATGATCGCGGATCGTCGTGGTCGTCCGCGTTGACGTAGAACTAATTAATGCAATTTCGTTCTCGTCGGCGTAACGCGATGCCCTGTTAAAACAGTCATAAAAGAGAATTAATTGAAAAAAATGATTCTACCAAGGATACGTTGCATGTGCAACGACTAGACGTCAACAACGCGTCAACGATATAAAAATATCTCGTAGGTGTAAATTACGAGTAGGTTAGTAGATTCTCGCGGAGCTATTTTGCGTTTTTTCCTTTAAGGAATGACGAATATTCGGAGGTCCTAATGTGGAGCAGTAGCTACCTGGTGGTCTTGCCGAAACTTGTCTCGAGGGTACGGTTATCGCGTACTCGCTCGGATACAAACCGTTTGAGAGCTTTGTGAGGGCGCGTTCACGGTGTAGCTATTAGAGGTTTCGAGAAGGCCGCAACATTCCCTAAGCTGTTTAAACTTTGGCGACGAAGGCCCCCTTTCTTCTTCTTCTTCTCGTTTCGTAACGCCGTCGACGTAAAGTCGTGCTTGGAAATATCGGTAAGCGCGCACGTAAGAGTTCCATTTGCTCGCGATTCGTAGGCAACACGCAAAGTAAATTTTCAAGTGCGACTAATCGTCGATTATTTGCCTCTTCTTCCGGCAAGAAACGAACCGAGTAATCGCATCCTCATCGCGCCGATTGTTCAATCGTTTGCGCGAACGAACCAATTGAACAAAGTCTTTTCTTTTTCTTTTTTAGAGTATCGTAAAAGATGTTTGGTCAAAAAGCCAAAGGTAGTGTTAGAGTATCGATAAAACGATCGTATCGAGGAACAAAGTTTGTCGCTTTATCGCTATTGGCTCCGCGCGTCGGATGTCGAGGACGTTACGTTTAATGTGACGATGGTAAGCCGGTAGGAGCATCCGATGCGGCATCAAACATGCAAATTCACTGATATAACGTTACACGGATACCTTGACGCGATCCGTTATCGCGACGATCCGTTGAGCGTTGCCACCGACGTACTGTTCCTCCTAGTAGTATAGGAGCATGATTAAATTTCCAAGGATATCGACACGACAGGAACACGTAAATCCTCCTTCCTCCTTCTCTCCTTACGCATCCATCTACGTTGTTACTCAGGTATGTGTGCAGGTACGTAGGACGTATCCGCGTCCCCGGTTCTTCTCGTCTCTTCTTCTCTTCTTCTCTTTTTCGAGCTAGAAGCTTGAAATTAACTATCGAAGATGCGAAACGTCGTTACGGCATCTACGACGTCATCGATAACGCCTCTTCATCCTTCTCAGACTTTGCTTTTCAAAGGGAGCCTGAGAAAACGAGAGAGAGAGAGAGAGAGAGAGAGAGAGAGAGAGAGAGAGAGAGAGGGAGAGTAATGCGATAGAAAGATGGATGAAGGATATTAGTCTTATATCGTTTTCTCTAGGATAGGGAAAGAAAAAGAAGGTTCGATATTTATTCATCGTTGGACTGCTATGCTAGTTGGGAAGAGCACACGCGTCATCTCCGTTAATGGACAGTAATCGTAATATAGGAAATGTAAGGCGATCGAAGATAATTAGGACGAGTAGCTTAGGTAGCGCGGGCCCCTTCGCGGCAATGGCACAGATCGGATTTGTCACGATTCCTAATGTTGATCGACGCCTTAATAATTTAATAGCCATACGTCCGCCGTGATCGTCCGGGAGAGGATTATTACCGCGGATCCCTCTGCTAGATCGAAAGCACTAAGGAGCTAACAGACTTAGCGGCGGTATCGCGTTTCCTCCTTTACTTTGGCTCCGGTCTTCCCTCTACGGGAAATATTGTATATCGCGACGGTACCCGCTCTCCAGAGACGATAATTGCCATCAATCCCTCGGCAAAAATATCATTGCGTGACGTTCCTTCGAACCTTTTGTCCATCGTTTTTCTTTTTTCTTTTTTGTTTTTTGACCGACAAACTAACGTATTCCCTTAACCATAGCCGTCCTTTCGTCTCTTTCTCTCTCTCTCGAAATCCGCCCATTTGACGATCGGGTAAAACGTGCGTCGCAAACACAGCACGGCGAACGTGACTACCGGCTGGCTGGCTGGTTGGCTGGCTGGCTGGCTGGTTGTGTCCGTGCACGGAGCCGTGAAATAGTAAATACAAAGCTCCCGTTGAATCGGCGCGCGATTCGATCCCCTCGAGAGGCTGCTAACATTCGCTGACACGCCGGTATTTCGATACCACCGCACGGACACGCCCGTGAAATATACGGGGACTACTATAGCCGAGTGTTAACCCGCATTTTCGAGCGTTTGTCGGCACGACGATCGATGACAAGAAATTCAAATTGCACCGGGGACTACGTTTTACCTCGCATTCGGCTATTTGGAATTACTTTCGATCCTTGTTTTCCCTGTTTTCGATGTTTAGTTTCCCTCTTTCCATTTTTACTCGGATCTACCGAAGGTGTTTTATCATCATTTCCTTAATATACTACACGTTGTAATAGATTATTAAATATATATTTAGTATATTGAAAAAATCTATGGTACACCCTCGATATAAGATACGAGGTTGGCAAGCATTTCGTTTGGAAAAAGTAGGATAGAATGAGATGGAAGGAAAAGAGGGCCGCCTCCAGAGACACAACCCGCAGAGTAGAGACGTGGTCGATGAAGACGAGAAGAAATCAATGCCTCGGCCAGAGTCCGCTTCACCTTTCTCTCCTCTCCTCTCCTCTCCTCACCAGTACTCTCCGCCCACTCGTTTTCTCCTCTTTTTGCTCTTCCGAATCTTCCATGACTACTCGCTTCGAGCTTATTCGCAACCGATAAAACTCTAAGATTTTTCGACTATTTCGTCGTAAACAGTTGAATATCTTTGTCGATTCCTTTGCTCAAATGATGCAACTCGTTAAGTATAAAATAAGAAAAAGTTGGAACGCTCTTTTGCTTTGTCGATTCGAAAAGTAATACGTATCCATAGAAATGGCGGTAATAGAAGAGGAAAGGGAAAAGGATAGAATAGAGAGAGAGAGAGAGAGAGAGAGAGAGAGAGAGAGAGAGAGAGAGAGAGGGAAAGAGGGAGAATTAGCGGAGGAAAAGACCCTCGCAAGATTTCCACGAGTTTAATATAGTTTTAGGGGCGTCGACTGAGAAAGAGAGAACGGGGGTGTAATGGTGTCTTAAACCGCAGTGACTCTCAACCAAGAGAGTCAACTCTTTGTGCTCGTTGCCAATAGGTTCGTCGATAGGTTTCCTCGACGACGTTTCGATAGCGTTGCTCTCGAAGGATTTGCCAAAGTGCGCGAACAGACGCTTACCTACCCAAGAGAGATCGAGCGAAACTTTTTTTTCCAGCGAAGATAAAGACGAAAAGGGCAACCTCGGTGCGAGGGAGCCCCGACGGTTCTTGATTTTTACGAGCGCGTAAATTCCGGAGAGGCAACTTCCTTCTTACTCCCTCTCCGTATCTTCTCTCCACCATTTCCAACTCGAAATACATAGAATTCTAGGAGACTCGCACCCCGTGCTCCGCTGTGAATTCCACAGCATGGAATTTCAGGTCGCCATTAACTCCGAATCCCCTCGAATCACGATTTGAAAGAGCTCGCGATACCATTGCGAATCCGCGCCGATTTTCCGAAATTTTTCTCTAAGAGCAAAAGCCGCGGGAAATTTAGGTAATTCCTATTTAGGTTTCTGTCAAAGCTTTCTTTTGGCAAATCCTTTTTGTTTCCTTCGAGATCGACGAAAAGCCGATTCTCTCTTTTACGAGATCGTAAATCTACTACAGAAATTGACTCGTCTCTCTCTTCGCTTTCCGTCGTTTTATAGGCTCGTGGAACATGTCCCTCCCCTATCGCCGATTTCGTCGAGCGACGAAATCTTGGCATTAATAAATACTCGATCATTCGTGGAGAATCGGAAAAAAGGCAAAGATAGAGAGATAGATAGTTGAAATCGTTGGGTAGACGAATAACGAATCCGCGAGTACTTTGGACGTTGGGAAGATAGAGGAGAGTCCATTAACATCCCTCGGCTGGTCACTCGCGGCATAGTTGGAATCGTTGCTACTCTGTAGCTTCCCTCTCTCCCGCCGGAGGATGGGAAGTGCGCACGTGCAATTCCTCCTCATCCCTCGGTCTATAACCGGTTACGGCTTATCCCGGTGGTAGTCATGGCAACGCAGGGGTCGGTGCCGCCCCTGGCCGCCAATCAGAGCTCGGGGAGCAGCGAGAGCTTCTACCCCCGCCTTCTCGGCGCTCGGTCCCGCGCCCCCGTCCCGCGGCCCCGTCCCGCGGCCCCGGCTTCGCTGAGATTCTCGCTTGGGAGAAAATCTTGACCGGGCGTGCCCTGCATCTCTGATACCACCTTCTTCAACTCCTCTCCTTTCCTCGAAAGGATCCGCCGCGATGGTCCTCGCTGGTTGTTGCTAAAATCGCTCGATAATAATTTGTGGATTCGTTTGATTTTGACGCAGGTGAAAAGCCGCACAAGTGTCAGGTATGCGGCAAAGCGTTCTCCCAGAGTAGCAATCTGATAACGCACTCGAGGAAGCACACGGGATTCAAGCCGTTCGCCTGCGAGCTCTGCGGACGAGCTTTCCAGAGGAAGGTCGATCTGAGGAGGCATCGCGAGACCCAGCACGCCGATCTCGGGACGTCGTCGCATCGGCCGGTCGGCGGTGGCGGCATCAACGCAATTCCATCGCAGAATTCTTTGCCGAGTGGAAACGCTTCGATAATGCAATGAAAACGATCCGCAGGAACCCTTTCGACCGAACTAAAGTCACGCATCGTCCTCGTCGACGGGAAGAGTGCAATCCAAGGACGAAGATCCGAGGGAGCAGGATACGGGAACAAAGAGATGTAGGCTGTTCGGATCGTCGTCGAGGTCGAAATCGAATCGTATTTTGTTTTCTTTTTCGACTACCTACAAGAGGTACACTTCTCTAATCGCTTTTTCTTAGATATTCGCGCGATATCGAAACGGATCCGATATCGGCGACGTTCCTTCGAAATGCCAATGTCGTTGGATGATTAAAATTATAAATAATACGAGAAAAGAAAGAGAGAAAAATGTAAAATAACGTTGTTCTACTAAATTATTATATCTATTGTTTTTTTGAATATCAACCTTATGCGAGGTGATAGTTAATTATCATAGATACGTAGAAGCATTTGAATGTTCTCGTTCTTTGCTCGTTGGTCGATTGTCATCGAAGAATTGAAGTTTGTTAGCGAATAAGAGAGGAACGCACATCGACGTACACACTTTGCATATCTCTTTCGCGAGGAGGAAACGACTATTACTCGTCGGGACTCGATATCTCTGGACGAAGTCCTCTGGATCGCAACTGTGACCAAACTTGTAAATAGCACCGTAGACCGTATCTCTTTTTGTTAGTCTAATTGTAAGCGTTTACTCGTGCGGGCGCACGCACGCCCTACTGCATACATATAAATGTGGATATAAAATGACTCGAACCTATAAATATAAATAGAGAAACGCGTCGCACCGATCCGTGCGGTGCCGGTATTTCTTCGCACTAAATTCCCCCTCAAATGCCCCCTCAAATTCCCCCTCAAATTCCCCCTCAAATTCCTCTCCTCGATGAGACCAACTCTCGATATTGTATTATGTATATTCGATTCTTTCTCCTTCCTCTTTCCCTTACCAAAATTTTTATTGTTGTACCATTGATATATCATTATGTAATTATTGTAATTAGAACTCGCTATTATTATTATTATTATTATTATTATTATTGTCTATTATTATATTATCATTATTATTATTATTTTTATTATTATATTATTATTATTATTATTATGAATAAAAGCTGTTACCATTTGTAAATCGTTCGTTGATGAGGAATGAAGGAACGAGAGCAAAGCGCGACTCGTTTCCGTTTCAAACGCATTCATCCCATTTTGCCCGAGAGAAACGTCGAGAACGATTAATCGAGATCTCGTTGAATCTGACGAAGCGAAAGATCACGGTCATTTTGACTAGATCGTAGACTCGATGTAATTCATGACAATTCAAGGGCCGATGGCAATTAAGCGGGCTACTACCGAGAACAAACCCTTAATATATTTTCCCTCGAATTTCCCTTCGACTTTTGCATCAGTTCCTTCTTATTTATACATTATATTTTTTTTTTCTTCCTGTGGACTAGAGTAAAAAATTCGGCTAGAGGAAATTTTTGCTTCGCGCAACTTCGAAGAACGTTTCGAAAGTGGAAAAAAAGAGAGGAGCGAAGGGGGAAAGGTAGACAAAGGGTGAGAGAAGACAGAGGGACAGAGAACATTACAGCACTGACTGCACGACACCATGACGCAGGCAGGCAGGCAGGCAAGCAGGCAGGCACGGGAGCAGATTGGACAGTTATTGCATTCTGGGTAAGATTAATTGATATGGGACTCGGGCCTAGAGGGGGCTCGCTTAAACCGTGTCTCAGTCACGGGCTTGGGATGAGAGAGCGGTGATTAACCAATTGCACCGTTGAACGAACTCGAACCGAAAGCCACCTCTCCCTTTCTATCTTACCAACCCCCTCGCTCTAATAGCCATTGAGTAATGGAGAGACTCTCATTATTAAATAGCGCAGGATAAATGCGCGCTTGCGTAGCTATGCGCTCGTAGACGTGCGCGCCCACCGACGCGATTATCAAGGAATCCTCGTTAACCGCTACCCGTGATCCTAAGGTGGACACTCTTTCATCGATATTTCATTATCGATAAAAGAGTTCAAAGTTTAACAAACTTTATTAAATATTCCGACCTTTGGCTGTCGTACAAATTGAATGAAATATTAAAATGCATCAACGAATAGAAAGTTGATATTTTCAAAAGACTATTTTGAATTGGATAGTGGAATATTGGAAGAAGAAAGAACGTTGTTTTGCTGCCCGGTTCGAAGCTCTTGCGAATAACCCAGAGAGAAGGAGTATTGCATGTATACCTAGGTAGAGAGGATACACCTTATGACTATTAAGATATTCACGACTCCGCAGAGGACACCCCCTACTTTGAAATATTGCCCAACGGGTCAACCCGAGTATACCTCGAAGCGCGGAGCACCACCCTTCGTCTTTTTCCATTCTCGCTAGGTTTGCATTAGGAAAAGCGGAACGACATCGTAGATTCGGTGTGTGCGCGGGTCCGAGGCGAGCTTTTCTCTACCAGCTTTCTCGTGGTTTTCCATATTATTTACAACCTCGTCGTCGTACGCGTTACCCCGCAATAACTCGGGTCCACGAATGCGACCATGTCGGCAAATTGGTGGAAACCGAGGAAGTCGTTACGCCCCTCTTCTGCATAGGTATTAGACGGCAACCCTGTCTGCTAGGATACCAGCAGCGTAAATATCCTGACCGCTTTTATTTTTCTCCCTGGTATTATTTATTGCCTCTTTAGAGGCAATATATAATAGGCGTATATCTGTCATTTTCGAAAGATCGCTTGGAAAAAAGTGGAAAAACGGAACAGGTAACCAGCGCGTAACGTCCTATGTCAACGCGTTACGTAATTTATCTTGTGCGTTCGCGTTTGCGTTAAGATTAATCAAGTTAATTACCCAAAGGCGACCGACCCACTTTATTAAATTTCTCTATCGAATTGCACTCAAGTTAATGAAACTATTATCTTAAATCGTAGCAGGACAGGAGGAGGATGAACGTTCGCGATGACGGGTCCTTGGCGATTCGCATCGGCGATATTCGAAACGCGAATAAACTTGCTCGACTACCTGGCTAAAAGATAACTTTATCCAGGAAAAAGCATAAAGGGACGAGTTTGCGAGTGCGCCGAGGCAAATCTCATTTCCGCGAAGCTGCGCGAGCCTCCTCGTATTATGGGGATTTTCCTGTCACGGGAGTAACCGGAATGGGCGAGGATTAAAAAATGTCAATTTCCAATTATCGTCGGGGCGGTGTTGCGCGGACATACGGGTAATGGAATTTTTGAAAAGGAGATTATATTTTACTCTTTATCCAATTTTCACTTTGGCTGGAATCAGTCCCCGCTGCCCGCGCCGATTCCTGGCGCAGAATTTTACCGAAGGAGACTTGTCTTCGTTGGAACGCGAGCGCGTTTGTTTAATTCGTCAAAAATGAATTATGGGAGGCTTCGTAATATTCGAAGGGTTTACCGGTCATTATTCTTTTGTTCCTTTTTTTTATTTATAAGGCGGGGCCAGCATTGTTTTCTCTCTCGAACTAATCAACTCTCGTAAGATCGAGGTTGCGACAAGCTGACGCGAGAGTTGTCATTTGTCAGTAGGCTTTTCTAATAACGAGCCGAGTCTCTCGAACGAGTTTAAACAAATAGCTCGGCGCACAAGGCACGAAGAATAAAACAAATGGTTGCTACCGCAAGGAAGAAAAGCGGCGGCACGCTTAGACGCGATCAATCAGTCGTCTTTGACCGGACCAACTTAATACAGTCGAGAAATCGATCGAATTCCGAGTATTCGAATGGTCTCTTGAAATATTCCACGATCCGTCCTACGGGATTGGACCTTTGTCCATTCGTTGAAACTTTCATCTGTGCTTATCGCAAATGCATACGTGCGCGTAAGTCAAATTTCAGTGGGAGGAAAAGGAAAGAAAATGTTCCACCTATTATAAGGGCTCGAAAAATAGAAAAGGAAAAAATATATAAAAGACGATAATCTAGGAGTAAGTTAACCGTAAATACTTGGATAGGCGATGACGCCATTCCCCGGAGAGGCCGATTCATTACGGATGTTAAATAAATGATAAGGCATCGGTACGGTCGTTTAGAAAATAGGTATCGGCGGCTAGTCCTGGCTGAATAGTCGTATTCCCGAAGAGCGATTATTCCTCCGTCGACGTCGTAGCCTCTTGGGCGAAATCAACTCCCTGGGATGGGTCACGTTACGCCGCGACCTAACATTCATCTAACATTCGCATCTAACATTCGCATCTAACATTCATGATCGAGGAACTTTCTTTCGATCTCCGTCGTGGAAGAACTTGTACAAACAAGATTTGTATTTTCGAGGTAGAGTAAAAGGACTGATTATCGCTTTAGCGAAAATACAATTACGAAGGGGAATGAAAGAACGTTTCCCGATAATGATATCTTATTTAGGCGGCGTCGAGCGCATATAATTCGAAAAGGAGTGCTCGTATCAGCGCCTACCTGGACCACGTAGTAGTCGTAACTCAGTTTCCAATAGGATCGTCGTCGTCGTCGTCGTCGTTGTCTCTTAGGAATACTTTATGCGTGCCGTAGGTCGATGCGACGACGTTAAGGATTCCAGGCGCGGTGCCGGGCAACTGCACCTTAAGAAGAAGGGCGTAGCTCCTACTAGTATCTTTATATCCTTTCTCGAGGAGTCGCACGGATAATCGTATCAAGATGACTGGTAGAGCCGCGGACGGGTATCAACTTTTGATCCTCCGGCCGTCGGTATTCAAACGGCTCTAACTCGATATAAGCGACGCTCCCCAAGGTATCCTTCCCCTCTTTCCAAAAGTCAACACACACACCGAAGAATAAAAGTATTTTCTTTCGGGACGCACCAATTCGATTTGCATGTTGGGAGAGGCGCCAAAGATGTCACTTACGTTCGAACAACATCTCTCCGAGACTATAAAATGATGATAATCGTCCTATCGAAATTTCAAACGTATATCTTATTTACATTTTACAGGGTTAGATGAGTTACCGATACGTTTTTTTCTATGTCATAATCTAATACACTTTTCTTCCAAGATATTTATCGGATAAGAATATATATGAGTCGGGTAGAAACATGTGTCCTTCGTGAAAAGGCCCGCTAGAAAATTTCTTCCCTTACCGAGCTTATTCTATCCGTAGTCGATATAAGCGATACCCGGGGTTGAACCCTGTTTTCGGTATAACTCGAACAACGTGGTAGTTTCCTACCTTAACACCTTTGCGTTGAAGAAATCTTTCAATGACGTCAATGAAAACGGAAGAATTACAGGGATTTGTCTTACCGGTTTGATTAAATCAATACGAGTAGCTTGCTCGGTGATGTAGATTTTGTAGCGATAGATTTTACGCGTACTTATCGTTTGGTAGAAATTCCAAGGAAATGGGAATAGAAAGGGAGAGAGAGAGAGAGAGAGAGAGAGAGAGAGAGAGAGAGAGAGAGAGAGAAAGAGAATACGATTAAAACGGAAATGGAGCTATATTTTATTATATTATATTTGAATTTTAGCCATATCCAAGAGTACGCCATCGTAGTTTACAGGAATGCTTCTAGATTTGTTCGTAATAACCGCGTTGCTATAAAATGATCGATTAAAAGACAGAGAGCTCGATATCTGTCACGCTTTTGAATCATTCTCGATTTGAAATGCGTCTCGCTGGAATGAGAAGGATATCTCTTATTGATTTCGCCTATATTTTCACAGATGAGAATCGTCGTGAGCTAAATCGCAAATCGATCGATCGATAAGAATGAATCCAAGTAATCTAAACGTTCCTGTTCGCGAGTAAAAAGGCAGTAATACGTATAGAAGTAAATAACTAATCGTAAGTAAGTATATATATATGTATCAGTAAGAGAATGAATATCTAATCGGATATAGCGTTTCGTTAACGATTTCGACAAAGCAAAGAGGAAATGTCCTTAGTCTTGGATAGTTTATTTGTTGGAAAAATGTCTTCTTAAAAGCTCTATTCTACTTAGATTCCACCGCGGTAATTGTAGATTAAATTGTAACATTTCCATGAGATCGAATCGTTTGGCGCGATATAAAACGACGACTTGGATAGAGTCGATAGATATACGCAAACGATTATAATATTGGATAAAGGAAGACAAATTGAATCGAAATCGACGACGACGACGACGACGACGACGACATCGTCGAAATCGAATCTTTCAATTGTACGATAAATCGCTGGCAGTCAGCGTACGTCCTGTTATAACGCAGAGAGAGAGTAGGTGTGTCTCGTTGTCAAAAAAGTAACAATTATAACATTTCTTTTTTTCCGCTTTGTCATCAAAGAAAGAACAAACGACGAATTGTATGTACTTTTAATGATGTCAATTTACGAAATCCTGTGTGTACGTTAATAATATAGTTATTGGGGAAGGCTTCGATTTGTAACTCGAGATGTACATAGAAAACTCGATCAGAGCGCTCGAAACTCCATCTATATTATATTATATATGTATATATATATATATACCTATATATTTATTTATTTATTTATTCATTCATCATTGAAATATTCATTTAATAATCTGGCAAGCTTAGCAACAAGGTAGGTACAGATAATTCGTAAACGGCGTAGCTTACGAACGTGTCTTGTTATTTGGCACTAGAATCCCCTCTTACAATACGTTTTAGACTCCTTCGAGATTTTCGGGATGTTTTTCCCTCTTCCCCCCCCCCCACCCCTCGAACATCATCTTGCATCTTCGATCGGGTGAACGCATAAATCGTTCTCAGGCCTAATTTCGTTTATAACTATGTCATATATCATTTATCGTTAAGATCTACGTAATATACACAAACACCTTCTTACTCCGAGAAAAGAAGACGGTAATCTAGGGAGAAACCGGCGTACCTGCGTACGCGCATTTTTCTCCTCACATATATCTTTGGTTTAACTCTGAGCAACGATATATTTGAATTCGCTAAACTCGATTAGTTTACAATAATAACAATAATAATAAAAGGAGTAGGAAATATGATGTATAATATAATTGTCTAACGCACCGCGTAGGTACACGAATGAACTGGATTAACGCTATCCTTCTATCGATAATTTGGCATAGTCATTAGCGTCCCTTTATTCGTCTGCCTATTCTTCGTCGATCGCAAAACCTCCTTGTTTTATGATTTTCCAAAAGTACAAACGTATGTAGGTAGTACTCGATGATCATTCGGACGAGATAATTCGAGCTGACAATAATGAAGAAAGATGTATAAATTGAAAATTCGACAGATGCGCAATTTGAAAGATATGCGAAGGAGGAAAAACGTTACTTTCGAAAACGTTTCTTTCGTCGCTTTTCCTCCAAAGATCCTCCAAAGATCTGGCAGAATAAGTTTTAGACGATGCGCGGTAGGCTGAGTTAATAAAGGGTCCGGGTTCTTCTTTTGTTCTCGTCCACTTGGCCTGCTACTGTATGGAACACGCCAATGGATGCGACAAAGCGTGATCGAGCAGTATGGGAGTGCCCGCAGCCAATTCCGTTCTCGCATCGCCGCAATCGTCGTCGCAGTCAAAGTAGTTGCTCTGTCGAATTACATCCGAAAGGGTTACTCGTTATATTATAGTACCACCACCACCACGCACCAAGAGAGCAATTAGTTTTCGCCCTTACCTGACAATCGATGCATCGACAACTGTCGGTCAGAGAACACGTGAGTCCGAGTATTTCAACGGCTTCTTTGTAAAGCTCCGCGCTTGACTTTCGTTGCCTCGGCGGGGAAGTGGGCGCGCTTACCGTCCCGGTTCCCGATGGTCTTCTGCCCCTCTTCAACCTCGAGGAGGATTCTCGAGACAAGGAGGAGGTCGACGTCGATCCTCTCGGCCGGTCGTCGTTAGTGAGAAGTGCTCGTCCTGCCGGCGAGGCGAATAGTTGCAGCATATCCATATCCTGAGAGACCGACAACAAAAACCACTTAATATTTCAACAAGATTCCAAACCAAAAAAGAGGGCTTTTCAATTCAAAGTCGGCAGTTTTCTCTTACAAGCGGATCCTTTCTCATGCTCGCGAGAGATCGATCGTATTTATGAATAAATTTCCGCTCGGGGTGTGCGCGTGCGTATCCAAAAACATTGGCATTTTTAATTAAGAGTACCGCGTCATTAAATCTTCCAATTGTCCTCTATCCCCACCCTTTTACATTTGAAAATAAGAACCCTGACGCAAGCTCTCCTGACGCAAGCTCTCCTGCCGCCTGGGATCGTTAACGTTAGAGCAGAAATCGTTATACCGGAAGAAAATAATTGGAAATGTTCCAAGAGTCGGAGAGTTTTTATCCGATTTATTTGGACGAAAAAATAATCGAGTGAAATCGAAGCAGTGATCGCGTCGAGTCGGCTCCACCTCCTACGAGTCCTATTCTAGTCAAATGACAACAAATACAATGCAATGGGAATGAACTAATTTCCAAGCATATTTTGAAGCAACGCCCGCGAATTTACTTTGCGCGATCGCACAATCATACACGATTTTGCAAGAGTTGCTCGTTAGCGTTACTTTTTATCGATGTTCGCGAAACAGAGTAAAAGCAATTATCGATCAATTACAGGACGCAAATGTAGACGGGCCATCATCCATTTGGCCGTTAACTGCGACTGCTACTGCGACTAGCACGTATAACGTATACGACTCGATGTTCCAATTAACAAGGTGCCGCACATAACAGAAACTCATTAGATTAATTAAACTCTACGTTTTTCAATAGCACGCTAACGAAAATGATAGGTTCAATTTGTAGACAAAAATGCAAAGCTTTCTTCAAACTTGATCTTTTTGTTTTTCTTCGATCAATGCCAAATATCTGCTGAACAATTTAACTAACGATTTATTAACCTAACTTGAGGCATCCCCGGCAACGAGATGAAATGCTATTTACGCACCCATTCATTTATCAATTAATCTCTCTTATTTTTGTTCTATTTTTGAAATCCTTTAGAAAGATTCTAAAAGATTAAAAGTGGCCGTGTTTTCGTCGAAGACAGATTACGAAATTCCGATATTCGTATTCTCTCTCTTTCCCATTTTATAGTATTATTTGTACGCGAACGTGCATAAAGAAGGATACATGTTTACGGGCTGCTTAACGAATGTTTAATGTAGACCGTTCGCTAATGCGATAACGTGCGTGGAAAGCAATCGAACTCGTTACACCTGGTCCTTTTCATAATTACGATAGGACGGAACACGATCTCGTTTGAAATCGTGTGTGGGATCATGTCCTGCATATCGTAGCTGCATATCGTAGCTGCATATCGTAGCTGCATATCGTAGCTGCATATCGTAGCATATCGTTGCCACTCACCGGCAAGGATTCGGGAGTGTGGTCCAGCACGTATATGCTATTTGTGTATCCGTACAACATGGTGTCCAGATCTGAAAGCAAAGAGGAAGTAGAACATTAAATTGGTCCGATGTTGGATTGTCGCAAACTGGAGAACAGCAATTTTCTAATGTGGAAATACGCAGGAAATACGGTCAAGAGGTTCGCGCGCGGTTTCCTATAGAATTCGTTAGGACGCTCTCCTCATTATCCTCGAATATTATTTCTCCCGCGTTGGAGGTCGCGTACAAACATCTGATATCGATCGAAAGAGTAACGATTCGTTTCAACATCTTAATAGCATCAAATGAAATCAAATAATATTGTTTAAAAAGAGGAAAAGATCGAACTACAGTAGTAATCTTCGGGATTTTAGTCGTAGTTACGTTCACGAGCGACGATAATTCCATATAGAGTTAGATTTAGGAGTATAAAAGCAAGAGACGACGCGATTTTGCATTTTGAAAAAAATGATAACGCGATATTCCTTCGATGGACTTTGAAAAGCACTTTGATATCGCTCGTCGATCCATTTTCGGATGCAAACGGTTCCGCGACCCTTCGGAAAAAGTAAGTGCGAAAGAGAGGTCCACGTATCACCAGCATGGACGTGAAAATCGATCCGATTGCGAAAGCAGTTTCCTCGGTAGCCGTTCGCGATCGGTTCATCCAGGAATTTCAATTTTCCTCCTATACAACGGGTTTATCGAGCGCCAAGTTTTTCGATTTGCAATTTTATCGAAAATCCTTCCTTCAGCCGTGCTACTTATTTGCGAAAATACAATTGCCGTAGGAGGCGAATTCGCTGCTGGAATCAACTTGGGGACGTGTCGCTAACGATTTATTTCGCCACCGAGATATTCCGAGATTGCGTAACGGAGGAGAGACATTTTTCACTGCGGTGCACTACTCCGCGTTACGAGAGAACAGTTTCCGGTCAGGTAATTCCGGTTCCAGCACTCGGACAAGCCAGCCCAGCCGGAAATAACGAATGAATGTATCTCGCTGGTTGTTTCGGCCCGGGTGGCCACACTCTTCTCTTAACGCATTCCTTTTCTTCGATCGTTTATAAACTTGGACGGAATGATTAGTTGGATGAAATAGTTTCCCATCCTACTGCGTAGTCTGCCGAAATCAATTTGAGAAACTTTACGTACATGGATGAAAGCATCAGAATTTTCATATACGCGCATAAACGTTTTTTATTTTCCTAATAAAAAAGGAACAAAACGGAACGTTTTGTAGATCGTACAAATGGCGCGAATCTAACGCGTGTTATTATTTTATTCTCCGTTTGAAATCCCGGAGGACGCTCGAGATACGCCGAGAGTTAATGCATTCTACAAAATATCATTGTTTTTTGACAATGAGTTTACGATGCTATCGACGAACAGATACGTAAATTTTTGAAATGCGACCGTTGGATTTATCTCGCGTTTAAAATGGTAAGTAACATAAATTATAGGAAATAGCGACAATACAATTGCAAGCGATTCGTAACTCGCTTCGATTACTATTTCAAATGATCGGAATGCGTTACTAATCTCTTATTCGATCGATATGGATAAGTACGCAATGGCTTCGCGAGCTTGCCCAGATTCTGTAACATTTCTATACTCGCGATTTCGAAAAATGAAAATGTAATTAAAAAAGAGAAATATGATGTTTGCTAGCCGAGAAAATTCCGTAACCGCGACCGAGGTATTCAATGGTTTACGGTTTCTCGCACTATCGGCTTTTCAAATCGCGCGTAACGCCTACATCAATCGCGTTAGAACAAGCGGAATTAATCTCTCTTCCGGAAAGGAGATAATAAAACATTCATAGATAATAGGACATTCGAAGATATAGATATCGTATCATTGAAAGACGTCCGCGTTGATTTAGTTAAGTTTAGTTAGCGATGGCACTTTGAATATATGCAAATTTCATGCTCGCGTATCGAATCGAATCGATATCGCAATAGCTCGACACCCGGTTGCTTGGATTCCGTGCATTCGTTGTCCGATTACTACATTAATCGATTCCACAGGAAATACTTGTTCATCTATTTTTATAGAACGATTTTCATGAGGGTGTCGTAGACGTTCGGCTTTTAAAGAATGATCCGCTTTAAGAGAAGTAGAGTCCCAGGAGAGGTAAAGTTTCGCAGAGGAATAAATGATAGGACGTCTATAAAATGATTAGTTTCTCGATTGGATGCGTTTATTCTTGGTTCTCGGATGGAAAGCGAGCAGAGACTAAGAAAATGGTATGATAGGATATGGAGTGAAATGAGCATTTGACTTGAACTTGAGTTCGGTTGGAGTTCGTCTCAGGTGCGTATCGATCGAAAGAAAAGCCAAGTTTCTATGGGATACTGGGAAAGGAATGGCCCTGACCTAGTAAGGGCCGTGAACCCGAAAGGCTCGAGCAAAGCCAACGGACCGTTGCGAGTTAGGGGTACCTTTGGTAGCGCGTAGACCATCGCCTGTGCAAGGGACGAAATCAAGACCGGAAGGAGGGCAAATACACGGAGGGCCACTTTGGTAGCGTTAAATAATTCATAGACACGCCATCGGTGCCGCGGCACTAGCCATTCGACCGTTCATCACGGGCTATCGATTGGACTACGGACTTGCTTGCCCTCTGCCTGCCACCAAGCGCACCCTACTTATGCCTACGATTTCCAAGAATAAGCGTTGACATCAATCCAAATCCGAATGCGAGCGCAGCTAAGTAGGAGCCAATTCTTTACCGTTCAACCCGTCAATGGGATATTGCGAACCGAACCCAACGCGTTTTTCCTCGTTACTTGCGAGCTATTAAATGCTATTAAAGTGCTAATGGAGTTAGAAAGGCCGACCGAGGGAATCGCTCGACAAAATACGGAAGCTTTTTGCAAAGATCGATAAGAGAACTCCTAATTCCTTTTCACATTTTCGCGTAGGCATTCGCGTTGGAATATTGAAAAGCTATTTTACTTTTGATATCGAGAAAAATCTATTAATGCGATTAAAAGGCAAGAAGAAGAAAAAAAAGAGCCGTTGCTGTTCTTTCTATAATAAGTAGACTACTACTTTTAAGAAGAAACCAGATGGCGAGCGAGCGAAACATCGAAGCGATGGAAATCGTATCATTTTCGAAACTTTTCTCTCTCTCTCTCTCTCTCCCTCTCTCTCTCTTTCTCCAGAATAATAATTCTTTTCGTTTGAATTCAACGTGGATGCAAATAATGACCAAGTTCATTAAAGTAATAAGGTGTAGTTATTAATGCTCCGAGTACCGTTTTCAGTTCGTTCTCCTTCGACGTTGCATTAATTAATGTCTAGATTAATTATCGAACAACGTAAAGTTTCCATTTTCGTTTCGACGCGCATAGGTAATACGCCTATAGGTGAACGAGAAAAAAAGTCGAACAATTTGATCGCGTAACTATAACATCGAACTTTTGCTATCGGTAATAATTATATTAAACAGTCTTGAAAATTTCCTACCTTTCGCGTTCGTCGAAGGTCGATAAGCAAAAGAAACCTCGTTACCCGTTGCCCGTTGCCCGTAGCCCGTAGCCCGTTGCCCGTTGCACATCGGATATCATCAGTTGCGTATGCGAAATCATTAGTTGAAATTAATGCGATTTCTATGGGAGCGCGCTTACGATATTATTTGTATGTACATACTATCGACTATCGGCTATCGGCTATCGGCAATTTCAATATTTACATGCATATACGTACGTATATACGCACGGCCACGTTGGACGGACGACGATTGCCGTTATTACCGCAATATATACAGTTTGCCATTTGTATTGCAAAGAATTCCAGTCGATCATTTTTCCCCAGCAAAGATGCAAACGTTGCGGAGTAAGACCGGAGTAAGACTGAAGTAAGATCGCAGCGTAAAAAATACAATACGCCGATCGATGCCGCGGCCCAATAATTTACCTTCGGAGGAAGGTACGATCTCGAAAATGTCTGCGTGCGTTAATAATGGCACCTGTTGTTGTACCATGAAATAACAGGGTGGTTCTTGTTAAAAAATAAAAATTGGCGGCACCGACCTGTAGGCGTACATGGAGTTCTTGCTGCTTCCACGAGGTCTTCTCGACTTCCGGGTGGAGCCTCCAACATGGTCGCACTCCCGGAGAATTTCTTTACGCACAGCAGGCTCAACGCTACAAGAAAGGGAAATTAAATATGTTAAATATTTTACACGGAGGACCTAAGTAAATATATTAAAATATATTATATTTTGAAGAAGAACACACAAACCTAAAAGGTTCATAGGATCTAGCGAAAAGCGATTTCCATTGCTCGAAGAAATACGGTACGGGCGGGGTACCAAAGGTATAATAAAGATCTATCGGAGAGCTCGATTAACATATTCGATATCGAGCGGCCAGTTGGAAAAGTTTGCTCTCTCGACGGATCGAGATTCATTTCGTTTCTCATTCTTTTTTATCGATTTTGGATTGTCCGGAAATGATAGAGACGCGTAAATCAATATTCCAATGAAATATCTCCTCCGGACGAGTGCCCTTACCTTTAGAATCGACCTATTAATTTAACCTGCACCTCCTACGCCTTTAGATATATATATATATATAATCTACGAGTATAGTTGCTTCGTTTCGAGTTATTATTATTCTATTCGCTTTCCTATTACTATCCTTCAACGGCACCCGTTTCCCGCAAATTTCGTATTAATCTTTTACGCGGTCCCTGCTTGGAAATGGCAAAATTTTATGCAAACTCGAGAGCGTTAACTCGGCATGTAACGAGCTCCGAGACGAGGACCTATCTTTCAACGGGGTGGAAACTTTGCGAGTATCGAAGCGATCGACGAGAACCTATCCGAATGCTAACTTTGTCTAATTGTAAGTTCTTACTTAGCAGAAGGAGAAGTCACGTTTTTATGACATTTTCATGACTACAATTGTGGTAAAGAGATTTTGCGCTTTCGGCTGTAGGCCTTTTTCGGGAATCCGCTTAGCCCATCGAACATTCTAATTCCAAAGGGAAAATCAAATCTGCGTCGATGGAAGAGGAAACGTTTCTATCTTCGATCGCGTACAAGTGGAAGTAACAAATACGAAGAAGTGTGCCATTTCATTTATTGCGATGCGATAGGATCGATCCTTAGATGTATTATATAGGTTTTCCGTAGCTACGTCGCGTAACATTTCTAACAACCGTTGGAACTTTCCTCTCGTCGCGCATTCGCTCGAGAAAGTCTAGATAGATTGTAGATGTAAGAACTGTGTGTGTGTGTGCAAATTCTTTGCTGGAAAAATTGAGAGAAGCTTTTACGTTCGCAGATTCCGCGTCGATCGTTGTTGCACACCAACTCTCTGCGGTTTGCAAAGGTTGCAACTCTCTTCGCAAAGGTCCTATGCACATGGAGCAGCGAGCTTTTCAATCGCTTTGTCCCGCAAAGAAAGAGAAAAGTCGTGGTTAGCGTAGTTGGAAGCTACCTACCCACGCTAATGCCCTATCCTCGCCTTGTGCTTTAGCCCGGTAAATCGATTCTCCTTCTTCTCGAATATCCAAATCCATAGATGGTTGTGTATCACGAAAAGATTGGCCGCAATAGATAGTTTAATGGCCACGGATCAAAAGAAACGATACCATCGAAGAGAGTCTCCCACTTTTGCCCAAGCTGTTTCTATCGCTGCTCAAAGTCAAAAATAGTTGGGAGCCGTTCTGTCGATATCTTTGAAACATGAGCTTCCCCTTCGTGACTATGTCTAGGCCATTTCTATCGAGTAGGAAAGCTTATTCCAGTGGATTAATCAAAATGCGTAGCTTACCCCGCTTCACGTCTCGCCACGTGTTCGTGATTTCGATGAATCTGCCCTGCCCGTTTGGTGTTTATCCATATAGTCCTCTCACATCCTTTCGCCGTCCGGTATACCGCGACTCTGAAAATAATAACGATTACGATCAGCGAGCAAAGGAAACTTTAGCAGCTGAGAGAAATTAGACGAGAGAGAAACTCGAGCTCGGTCGCTTATTTAAACGGAACGTCGAACAACCTACCGTGACAGCTAACATCGGAAGGTTCATGCGTTATTCATGAAAATCTTCAGAGAGACAGTGTTCTCGTTTGGTCACGTGGGGAGTGAACAGTTGACGCAAATGCAATAGGTAAACGAGGAATCTGGTTCTGCCCATGAACGCATATATGCATAGGGTCCAGCGAGGACGTCTTCCATGCCGAGCAAAATCAAATTTCATCAGCCTATCTCGGCCGCGTTATCTTATTAAATAGGAAATATTGTAGTTGTTGCAATACCTCGCAACATTTAATGCGCGCAAGATTTTGTCGCGTACGCATACGGATGCATTTGGCGACGCGTTCGAGCTAACAGAGGACAGAACGTGCCTTGTTGTCGGCACAATAGATCGGTTGTCGGCGAATAAACCGATCTATAAACGCGTCATTCCTATACCGGGTTGAATAGACATTATTTCGCGGAACGCGTTCCTATTATTATACAATATTTTTCATAATGTCTCGTTAAATCTTATCGCGTTCGTTGCGTTCTAAGACTTTCCAATCGATTTTATAGCTCGAGAACAATTTCTTTCCCTACGTTCCACAATCCTGCACGTCAATATAATATTTATTTTCTTTTCATTTATTATTTTGGTATTTTAAGGATATAATTCTCGACTACTCGTCGTATTGAAAATTCAATCGGAACAATTACTTCGTAGAGGGAAGGAATCGAAGATCGATCGAATATTGACCACTCGAGTATTGCAAGATGATTCGCGGGTAGGAATTGGAAGAAGGATCTTTTATCTTTTAAGGTGAGTGGCGTTCGCCTGGCACAGTTACAAGATAAGGAATGCTCGCCACTTGTTCTTAATCTCCGCTCTTTCGCCTCGCATTTTCGACGCTCGAAAGTAACCCTTTGCACTCGAGAGACTTGTTACTCTCGGCCACCACTCGGTTTTACACGATAATTCCGATAAACGGAGTTAAAAAGGATTGCGAGGAAAATCCTACAGTATTATTGTTGGAATTGTTTGCTTTCCTTTCTTCGAAGTATAGTCTTTTCGTCGACATTTGATGATAATCAGCCCGTTAATCGGCATCCGCTATCGAAAACGATCTCAAGCTTTATTAACTCGCCGAAATTGGATGATGGCCATGACCGATGCATGTTTCGTTAACAGGACGAGTCTCCAGAGTCGTAGAGTCGGCGGATAGTAATTACAAGGAAGAGTGACACTATCTCGCTTATCACTCCCAAGTGCTTGCGGTACTTCTCCTACTTTATGCATTAGTATGTATCTACATCGAGCCTTTCGAGCCAGTTTACCATGCCACTTGCAATTACTTCAATATTCGGATTACTTTGATTTTCGGATCAGCAAAGAAAAGATTACGTTCGTTCAGTTTTACGCTTCTTCATTCTTTCGATTTTCTGCATAGAAGAGTTGACGACGAGCATTCATTCAAATCCTTTTGAGACACGCATAGAAATACGTACACGTGCCTATGTATACCTATATAGACATTGTATCATGAAAAAAAGACGAGTTGATAATCCAAAGTACGTAGGAGAATATAAAGCAGACAGCACGCTAGAAAGATCTCCTATAAACTCCACCCTCTTGAAGCGTATACATTTTTCTTCGTCCTACTCCCTTCATTTTCTTTCTTCCTTCCTTCCTTCCTTCCTTCTTTCCTTCCACGTCTGAGACATCCGCTAAATCTCCAAGAGTGTATACAAACGGCAATTCGTCTTGAAGACTTTCTGGAAAAGTTGCATCAACGCTTGAAACTCAAGAGACGATGCAAATTGAATCCTAGGAACGTGGAGATGCACGAGCGAGGATGAAAAGCGAATCGGCGCGACTAAAAAGATGAATCGAAAATTGGCCAAAGTTTCGATGACCGATGAAATTGGTTGAAAACGACGCGTTGGTATTAATTCAATCAGAATTGGGAAAGATTCGGCCTCGTTTCGTGACCGCGAATAACCGGCGCTTGCGAATACGAAATCTTTCTTGGAACCCCGTCCAAAGGCGAAATTTGGGCTAACGAAGCACTCGACAAAGGCAAGGTGCATCTCGCAGGCCATAATTAATCATAGCACCCGAACTTTTCGCGACGATTAAAGTATCTTTTCGAGAAACAAGAGACGTTCGTATAGTACATCAACGTTCGAATAGATTGAATATTTGCTAACTAGCCAGCAACTTAGACTTCCTCTTCCTGTAGCCTTCGATCCTAAGTCAAATTTGATTGTGTAATTTGATCGGCAATCGGGGATCGTCGAACAATCTTCTTTAGCGGCGACGAGAAATTTCGAGCAAACAACTGATTTACGGAAGGAGAAAAGTATTTTGTAACTCTGACGTAAAACACCATTGTTGCTCGTTCGGACGTAACTTACACAATGTGCGCGACCCAATTAGCGTTGGCGTTATACCCTAGCCATACGTTTGGTAATGGCTCGTATTACTTATACCAAGTCGGAACAGTGGGTTTCACTAGATTTACGTTTCGCGTGACCAAGCGTATAGACTGCAATTACTTACTACGTAATAAATACTTACGAATTACTTACTTTTATGGAAAAACGAACATTCGCTCGATCGGCTTAGTTAATTACTAAATAATTGTACGCGATCGATAGCGAGTTGAACAAAATATATTCATTCTCTCTATAAGTTTATTTGGCAAAATAAGATTCTGGAAAAGGTTTGAAAACAATTCCGAGTAACAAGGAACTAAACTAATAAGCGCAGCCAGATAAAGCAAGTTCCTTTATCGCGAGAAGACAAGTTTAGTTGTTCCCGAAGAAAAGAGACGAAACAATCGGGCGAGAGAGTAGACGACATTTATCAGACGACGAGGCACGTACTTTCTTTGCACGCCAGCCACGTTTCGTCTCTTTTGTTTCCTCGGCGAAGAAGCGTTCCGACAACAAGATTCTTCGTCAACGCGTCGAGTTTGACCGGTTCGAAAGGATTCCATATGGAGTGGATGAATAACGCAGTGTTGGAATAACGTGGAAAAATATACGTGTTTGCATCCTTATATATATCGAGGTACCCCGTTCTTCCAATGAGCATTCAAGCAATGCTCGAGAAAGCCAAATTACCAACTGGCTTTTTATTCCAAAGTATATAGGCGAAAAGCGGAGAATATAGTAGACCCGATAAACACGTCGACTCCCACCCAGCATGGTACGTGATAATAGGATGCGAGAGGCATCGTATTGTGGGGAACACAATGAACTTCTCGTTTGAACGTTTCCCAAGCGAATGCCTCTGGCAGTTCGTCCTCGAATTAGAAGCGAATGCCTTCGAGCATAAGTATCGTACACGGTACAATGAAATCTTCCAAATGAAAAGCGTCTCCGGCTCCCCAAATTTCCTCTAGTTTCATTTTTTCTTTGGACCGTCCCTTACCTACCCTCTCTTATCGTCTTGTCAACTGATTCTACTAATATGTAACAATATCGCGAAATCGATGTGTGCTCATTGACAAGATGCGTAGATGTTCGCGTCCAATCTCGCGTTAATCGCGATTAGCGAGGCAATTACGTTGTTTCACCACGAAAGATCAATACCGAATGCGGAGATTTGCTCGACGTGCTTGTTACGAATACGTTTCGATGCTCCATCGCCATTTCCTCGAGTTACCTATTTATGTATCTCCAAATCGACGTTTCTTTCATCCTAATCCAATTAATATTTCCTTGACTTTGCATAATATAGCCGAGCTTTGATTAAAATCACCATTGCCATTTGCCTTCCTTGTATTTTTATATTAAAACGTAAAAGCGCATACTATAGGAGATAAAATGTGTTTCGCGAAGACGTCGACGTTGGCTTAGGCGAAAATGTTGCGCGTAAAAAGGCACAAAAAAAAGGGGCGCTTGGAGAAAACACTTAAAATGAAAATTAATGAAAAAGGAAAGAATCGCAATTTGGGTAAAAGCAGGATTTATACTTTTTTATCTATCTCTCTTCAGAGCAATATATTTAATGGAATATGTATAATTATGAAAATAAGGAAAAAGTATAATATAGTGTAATTAGACGCGAGAGCCGCATCATTTGCATATATTGTACATTATATATACATTATATTATATTCGCTATCGCCAGTACCTATCGCGTGTTCTTCCCATACCACTTTGACGGCGCCAAATCAATTTGTGCTCTAACTGATAATCGCTAAACGTTATTATGTCATTTTAATCTATATCAAGGCTCTCAACGACATTCCTCTCTGGAACTAATAGAGTCGATAAATACGAAATGAACAAAAGGACGAGGCGTTTGATACACGATAATACAATGTGTAACGATGAACGACGAACGATGATTTTCTACCAAGAGTTTGTTTCTACACAATTATTGGCTTTTCATTGGAAAAACAAGAGCGCTCGTTCGATGTTCGCGAGGGCAACGCAGAAAGGAATCGTTCGACTGTATAAAGGCGGCAGTAGTAACAGTGTTTCCAGTTACAAGACAGAGAATAACTGATTTGTAGCCTTGTCGAAGGTTCCAGCGCATAAATCTCGAGCTGCCTCGACAGCCTTCTCCTTTCAGCCATCGGTGGACTGAAATCAAATCCTCCCCGTGTCCTCCCGGTGTCCTCCTCGTGTCCTCCTTTCGCGTTATCTTCTATCCAAGCGCGCATAACAATAACGCACATCGTAGACGCAAGATCCCTCCCTCCCGACCTGCTCATGATTTATGCTCGCGCATTTGACGTGTTGTATGTGTAAGTAAATAGGTACGTGTTTCTCCGTGTAAGTAAATAGGCAAAATGGGTCTAACCGGACACAAGTAAAAAAAGGAAAAATCCATCGATATTCCTCCCTGCTCCCTCTCCACTTCTCCTATCTTCATTTTAATAGAGAATAGCGGGGGGACAGCACAGTCGAGC